ATACGTGTATCCGATACGCACTGTTAAGATACGCATCAAAATTCGGATTGGCATGTATCAGATACGGTATCACAAAGGTGTACCATATGATCGCGTTAATTCGGCGTCCAAACTAGCGATTATGATACATGTTGGTGCAACGCGACGGAGATATGATACACAAAGATGCTACATATGTGGACCCGGCCTAATAGTCCTTCATCGAACCCAAAACTTACAATTTGTAAAAATCTCATCGTTTAGCTACAATACTCTGTGTCGTATGTGGTGAACAACCCTGTATAGCCCAAATAGGCAGTATTTTATTTTAAATCTGATATACCACTAACAATGACAATGATCATGTATGTTTTATATGTACGAGTATATTCATAAAATCACTAGCTGTCTTATTAATTCAATTATGACCATTAATGAGGCTAAAATATGTTTGATTCATTAGCATTTTTTTTAATTTGCGACGTTTTTTTTCTCTCAGTGTGCTACAAAAAGAACTTTAAATAAGCATACGTTACTTTTTCTCTTCAATGTTCCATTTAGATTACTAAAAAATCCCCGCTAAACTAAAAGAAATACTTTCCAACTCCCATTTCCTTTCTGGGATCTGCATTATATTAAAGAAGAATGTCTCTTATATAAACGAAATGGTTTTTTTCTAAGCTGTTTCCTTTCCAAAAAAAATGCGAATATATTTTGTATTCTTTTTTGTAAAGGGAAAATTGTTTCCTCCCCGGTGATATTTGATATACAGCAAAAACGACTTTGGCCTTGTTCTTGTTTTTTTTTGATATAAGGAAAATAAATTCGTTTAAAATCGTTGGAAGTTTTTCGTATACGGTGGAAAAAGTTTTAACGATATAGCGTCGGAAGTTTTCCTTTGTGCCGTTTTTTAATAAGCACCAACTTGGGCTTTTGATGTCGTTATAATTTGTCTCAAAGCTGTTTCTTATGCCTGACTAAGGCATTCTCAAAATTTTAGCCAAAACGTATTTGACAAAAGCGAAAATATATAGAATTGCTATCTGGAAGAAATCATTCAACATGTCTACGTTGTCTGGCGATATCCTTTACTGGAGCCTTGGACAGAAGACAGAGTTTAAATAAAATGGAAAATTAAAGACAGTTGAAAAAGTCTTAAATATAGTCTTAACTCTTTGTGAGCAGTACCGTTGATTGTAAAACAGCGTACCTGCCATAGACTTAAAATAAAATATAGACTGAGCATCTCATTCATAAATAGCTGGAACGTGCGGTCAGACAATGTCTTGTTATTGTTGTGTTATTGTTTTAGGTTATAACGAGTGCGACACGAGCGATAGATAGGTTGTCTCTGTCGTAACGGTCGTTCCCTGACGACTCTGTCGAGAAACACAACACTGTCTTTCGTTTCTCAAGTACACCTGAACTCTCCTATCATAGCCGGGTAATTTTTTTATTCTAATGAAACTATAATTAAATCAAAAATATATCGTATTTAAACTTTTTTATATCTTATTAAGATTTAGGACAGGTTTTTTAAATAAAAGTTTAGAAAAAACGTCTTAGAGTCCAAAATGGATAAAAATAATAAAATACACGTTATAGAAGAAATTTTATAATCGAAATTACGTAATTTCGATTTAAATTAATAATAAATTATTAATTTTAGTCAAACATTTACAACCCCTAATATTAATCAAAACAGGATCTATTCCACAGATATAATAGAATCGGCGACAGGGAGAGAAAAAAAAATATGATTGTTGTAATAACAAGATTTAGTATGTTAGTATATGACATAAATTAGGATTGATTGACGCATTCAATTGCTTTTGGTCACTTCCTGTTTCACCGGAAATGACTATAACTTTTAATTTTTAAACGGCACCCTCGGTATATTTCTACTTTATTCGACAGAAAATGCAAATGGTTTAATTGTAATTGTAACATGCGGTTCATAACGACAATTTGACTCGAAATACCAAGTGTGTGGTATCAATATATTCATAAAAAAATGCTCTCTGAAAAAATAAAAAAGTTATAGGGGTGAGCCACTTTTGAGACGACCCGGTATATTAAAAAATATTGTTTCATAATGTAATATCATTTTAAAATTCTTGTATGTTATTTTAGATTCTGAAGATAATTTTAGAATAAACCGGAATATATTTTTAATAAAAACATTATTAATTATAACAAGGTTATAATTATGATTTTGTTACAATGTAAGTAAGTAAATAATGAAATGTAAGAGAAAAAATTAAGATTTTACATTTTACTAAAATATTATCTAAATAAGCGCCTTTCTACAACAACGCCACTGACTCCTAATGGGTAAATTGAGAGTTGCCTACAGGTCGAAAGTCGTTGAACAGAAAAAGTCAATAAAATAAACACTTAAGGACTACAAGCTAAGAAAATGCGTTAATACAGCCGGGGACATAGCGGCAACAAAGCTTTACCGCACACGTGCGACGCGTACTACAAGGTAATAAATGAATGAATAGGCTCCCTCGCCTCTAATCGGTGTTGTCATATTGTAAAGAACTTATCCTTTTTAAACAGTATCCGACTTATAATTTAGTAGTATAAGGACTATTTAATACATCTATGGAATATTAAAACCTAGTTTATTAAACTGTAGTATTAATATCTCAATATAAAAATATATAATATAAAAACATAGATTATTGAAATTATTTAAATAGAAAAGTTATTTTTACCGCAGTTCGGAAGAGATTTTACTTAAAGGTATTTTATAAACTTTCTTAAAAAACGTCAATGTCAGCCAAGTATCAGAGTTCAATTAGATTTACCACAGATTATCAATTTGAACGATTTGAACTACACTCGATTCTACTCTAGATATTTTCGTTTTTTAAGCCGCCCATACTGAAGTCCGCTATATTGGGAAGTTTTAAATGATAAGAACTATACATATCTAGCATAACAGTTTTGCAATTTTTGTGATGAGTGTATATTTTTCAGTTACAGATAGAGATGACCAGTAGACAGTATCGCATGAGACAGAACAAAAGAATCAGATAGTAGTAGTCTAATATTTGTGTCACATAATATATCTTTATGTAGATAAATCATTTTAAGTTTACCTATTGACTTCATTTTATTAAATGTGAGTGATGTGTGAGAATTAAATCTTAAGTCCGAATCGATGTAGAGACCGAGACTTTTACAGGTTTCAGAAAATATCACAGCTTTATATCATTTAAAATCACTTCAAAGTTAGGATTAATAATTATTTCATTTTAACATGGGGCCGAAGAATAAAACAGTTGTTTTAGATTTAGTTAACTTTCAAATCATATAGTTTTCTAAATTTATTAACGTTTAAAACAACGGTTTAAAACATCTTTAATCTATGCGCGGGGTATTAAGGCAGAATATTCAGGAAATGTATTATACAGGGTTGGTCAAATTCGAGGCTTTTAAAGGGAAGCACCTTTTCTATAGAAGATAGACGAAAACTAATATTGGTGTCTGAAGCTCAGTTTTATTCATTCTTTTTTAATATGTAGTAGTTTTTCAAAAATGTGCATTTTTAACAAATTGCTGTAACTTTTTTGCTATGGAAAATTTTATATTTTTGTGAAAACATTTCCAAAGCAGCTTTTTACGTAGAATTTAATGGTTTAAGTATATTTTTTTAGATTAATAATTTAATTAAGAGTTATCAACAGAAAAATGGATTTTTTATTCCGGCCATCCTGTATATTTTTAATTAAGTGAAAAGAACTTAAAATTATCTTTCCAAAAATATAGCACACTTGATATTTTGTTATAGTCCCCTTCGAAATGCAGAATTTTTCGTTCATCATTTTTAACGTAGTAGGCTTTGGACCCCTTATTGAAGATCTGCCCCTAACGGAACTCGAAAACGTATTTTTCCAGCAAGACGAGGCACCGCCTTTTATTCCATGTTGAAGTTATCAGCAAATTTTTGCAGCCAATTTCGAGAACAATTGAATAATTGAAACCAAGATCCCAGCCGTTGGCCGTCGAGGCCGCCGGATTTAGTGCCTGTGGATATTTATCTTTGTGGAAGAATAAAAGTTCTTATTTTTAAATTGCCCGTATAATCTAGACAAGAATTAGAAGTATTTAGCGGCGGTATTTTTCACCCCCACTGAAATAAATTCCGGTCCCGTCTGTAGCAAAATCTCATGTCTGTCTTGGTTTGCTATTAATTTTTATTATTAGATATAGTTTAAATGTGTTGATGTTGATTAAATATAGTTTAAATTGTGTTATAAAATTCCATCTCTCATTGCAAATATTATTTTCGTTTTAATTGCTGCTCACAGCTAGAATTTTTTTGCAGCTGGCCTTCAAAGCCTACTTATTCAAAGTGGACGAATTTTTAAAAACTCTACATATATCTCGAAGAGGAATCGAGCAAAATATCAAGTATGCTATATTTTTGGAAAGGTAATTTTAAATTCTTTTCAATTTGAATTAAATATATACAGGGAATCCCATATAAAAATCAAATTTTCTGTTGATAATTCTTAAATTATTAATTTTAAAACAATTATACTTAAACCGTTAAATTTTACGTAAAAATGTGCTGTCGAAATGTTTTCACAAAAATGCAAAATTTTCCATAGCAAAAAAGTTACAGCCATTTGTTAAAAATTCACAATTTTGAAAAACACCCCGTAACCTCAAAACAGTAACAGATATCGATGTGCGGTTTTCACCATCATGTTTCTGAAAAAATTTGAGCTCCAGACACCGATATTAGTTTTCGTCTATCTGCTATAGAAAGGATGTTTTCCCTTAAAAGCGTCCAATGTGATCCACCCTGTACAGTTGGGTATCTTCGGCATATGTACACTACAGACCATTAAATTAGATGATAAATCTAGGTATATCCTAGGTAGGTATTTTTAAGTTCCCACCTGGTATGTTTTATAACCTTAGGTTATAACCAAGTGTTACTGTATTGTCAAAAGACTGACTAAAGGATATTTCAAGAAATATAGATTAAAACACTCCTTTACCTCGTCGTAAATGAAATTATCAATCTCCTCCAACGGCCTGCCGTACAACTTTTTCGGAAACGGCTCGTACTTGCCCGGCAACCGACTCCCATCCTCCACGCTCAGCTTCCTCCTCGGCTGGAACCCGTACTCCCTCACCAGTTGCACCGTCTTCCTTTCCAGCCTTTCCAGACTCTCCTTGGTGAACGGCCTCACCTGCGGCTTCTGTCTGAGCGGCGGTTTCGCCGTTTCCGAGTCGCTCGAGCGCCGTGCCGGTTCCAGCAGGTTCTCCACCTCCTGCGGCACCTTAGAGGTGTCCACGACGCTGTCCGGCCCGCAGGGGTAGGACACGGGACGCTGGGGCCGGAACCCACCGAGGTTTTTCGGCATTTTTCGACGGAAACGACTCGCGATCGAGGAAGAGATTTGTGGCGGTGAAGAGTCAGTAGGTCGCAGCAGGACGGGTGGCGCGCAAGGGCGCTGTGAGGCGTCGCGGCGCGATCATGGCAGAGACTGGCGGCGGACTGAGGCGTCCGCCCGGAGTGGTGTACCGGCAAGGAGGAGTTTATTGTACTAAAGGATTCGGGGGGAAATGTACTGAATTGCGTTAAATTCACGAGAGTAATACTAAGGGTTTTGTACCCAGCCTTTACTTGATAGGGGGTTAGACGAACTGAGGAAAATAGTTTACATATTCTCGTCGTCAGCTCAGGGAGTCCTAATAAATTTCAAGATCACTATATTAGAGTAATCTTAAGAGTGCATTTCACTAGTCCGAAAAAATGGCAAAATAAGCGTTCGGCATTTAACGGTTTATGTAAAACTAGCTTGGTATTTTTACACAAATGAAGAAGAAAATTAAAGATAAAGGATTATATTATATCCGTATTGTAGCACATTTTAGACAACTTCTTTATGTTTAAGATTTCGATGGTCAAATAAATATTCCTTACGTTTAGACTAAATTTTTTCGAAAATAAAGACATAATTTAAAATTCCGTTACAATACAGAAATATATTGAAGTTTTGTCATTACAGTGATATATAATTTATATGGTTTTGTAAGAAATTGCTTGCTATTTTATGGCAAATGCTGAAGCTCTGCAAACCTTAATCAAGCCTTAATTAAAGCACGTGTGTTTGAAATTTTAGGTGCGGCAAGTATCTTAATGGAGTTAACTCGCGTGTATTGTACAATATTTTATCTACGTCTAACTATAGAAACACACAATAAATTTTAAAAATTATTGTACTTAACTATATACCTATCCTAAAAATCAATTACCTTAATACCTTTGTTCAAATAACACCATGCATGGCAATGTCAATATGACAGTAAATAATATTGATGTCACTAGTTTAAAAAATGAGCGATTCGGAAAGTATTCCATCTGACATTGAAGAAGAGGCATTCAGAGCCATTTCTGGATTGCTTCCAGCAAGATCGAAACAGAAGTATGAATATACATAGTCTAAGTATGAAAAATGGTGCACCGAAAAAAAAGTACACAACTATGGAAATGAAAAGGTACTCATAACATAAAGCTGTACGCACACTGGCGCGATCACGGCCGCGATCACGATCTCTACACAGCCGCGGCCAAAAGTTGCCGAAGAATACATATATGAGCCGTTTCACATTGGCGCGATCGAGTTTTGGAGACGAAGCGGCCTGGCGGCGTTCTATTCTGCGGTGGCGATCAGATTCAACTTGCCGAGTTTGATCGCGTGATCGCGACCCAACTGATAGGAATTTTCCGTTATTTTGTGTGCTTTTTCTTATTGCAATTTAGAAATGGAGTTAACAGAGCAGCTAATTAGGGCTCTAAAAATACAAAAAAATTCTATATGATTTATCCGATTCAAGTTACAAAAATAATAGAATTTAAAATAAAAATTTTGAGACAAAATTGGAGTTGCAATTGAATTGGATAGTACATATGTATACATTTTTATTGTTTAAGTTTAAATATTGTAGGTAAATAGTTAAGAATGTTTTTTTCGGTATAGATAATTCACATTTTTAATTTGTATGTATACCTACAGGATAGCTCACTACATATAGGTACGGCGGTGAACGTGAACGCGTTGGTGTGTGCTAGAATGATCGCTCATGTTATCGCTGCCCTGATCGTGATCATGATCACGGCCGTGATCGCACCAGTGTGCGTATAGTTTATTTTTCCAATTTATCCGCTACTTATAAGCCTTCGTCTCTTTGGGCTTTCTATTCAATGATACGTACTATGATATATATTAAAATGAATATATATGCTTCATCAGGCATTTACTTGAAAGATTGTTCAAACTGTATCATTAACATTTATAATAAATAAGTTTTCATGTTTTTATAATTATTATCAATAGAACAGTTTATTTGTATTTTGTAGGTATTAGTGCAAAATAAATGTCTTACAATAGTATATTAAACAACGAGTTTCTCAACGACGTTTTGCACACGAGTTCGACAGTTTGTTTGCTCGAGCGCGAGTCGAACCAGTGTACAAAGAAGTTTTCGAACGAGTTTTTTACGCTATTTTTTCTACGACTACAAATTAGCAGCAGACTCACTCAGTTTTTGCCAGTTTTGTGAAATAATTTGCGATGTAATGATGACACTTTTCTGATGGCTGCGTTGCGTTTGGCGTTTCAGCTAAACATTGGAGGTTAAAAATGTTAAAATTGGCACATGTCATGTGCAAAATGACACATGTCGTGCGCTAAATCATGGCTAGATCCTTAGCACACAACAGTTTGCAAAACGCCAATTTCAGATCGAGTTTTCCGTGTGTCAAAGTGCATTTTCTAGGCTAGTCGTAGAAAAAATATTTTTTTCTCTTTGGTAGTCATCTAAACAAGGAGTGCGGTAATAAAAATGCGTGAGTTAAGAAGCTCTTAACTCACTCATTTTGAGTGAGTTAACTCTTAACAACTTAAAAAAACTTCTTAACTCACTGGCGTAGATAAAAGTACTTTACTTTTATGTCTAGGCTTTAAAATGACTTTTTTATATGGTCAATCACGTCGCAAAAATTAATAATTTTGTGACATTTGAAAAAAGAATACTTTACAAGTTATATTGAAAACTCCGCTGTGTCATTAAAATGGTATTTCGATTTTAAAGTATACAATAAAGCATGCAATATCAAAGAAATGAATCGTATAAAATACAATAATCTACAGAACTAATTAAGAGTTTTATTAACAGTTCTGTTTATAATTACCTAAACTTTATAACGACCATTAAAATAATAAAATTCAAAATTTTATCACGCGCCAAAAGCTATACGCGTAGAAGAGTTTTAATTTTGGAAGGTTCGGAATAGAACTAGAATTTTTAGAGGCTAATATTTTATTTTAAAAATCACCAAAACTGTTAGTATAGTGTATTTTGTTACCATTAATCGTACCACAGTGGAATTTTATGTTAAATAAATATACTGACCGGTACGAAAAACGGGCACCTTTAAATTTTTATTTTATTTAAATTTCAATATACAGGGCCCGGCAGTATTGCGCCGGGCCTCTGTACCTCCTAGAATAAAAAAACTTGAGTTTGAATAAAAAACTCCTAGAATAAAAAACTTAAGTTGAATTTTGTTTAATTGCAAACCTAAACTATGAACGAGGATGTATTTCAGGAAAATATTTTAACTTCTATAGGGTGGCTCAAAAAGTGTGAGCGGATCGAGATATTTTTTGTTAAATGGAACATCCTGTATATTATTGCATTTTTGGCTTTCTTTCGGATCACTTTCCATAATCCTGAGATATGAGTAAATATATTTCGATAGTTTCAGAAATCTTAATAAATAAATAAAAATATACAGGGTGAGTCTTAAATAAGTGCAAATATTTTCAGGGGTGGTATATTTCGACCTCAGGAATACGCCTATGAGATTTTTTTCGCAAAAAAAGATGTTGAAAATCGTGCATTTTCTTTTAAATTTCCCTGTATATTTTTCGAAAACTTTTTAGAAATGCCTGTTTACCGCAAATTTTCCCACGGTATAATTTCTTAATCTTCAATATTACCATAGTTACTTTACTCCATGGTTACGGCACTATGAAAAATTTTGGTTAGAAATCAAAAGTTTTATAAGCTACATATTATGTTTTCTCTAGCTGTTGCTGGGATATTTTTTTTGTCATCACAGGTTTCTCTGGAATAATCCTTGTATCGGGTCGTATACCAAGATACAAAGCGTGCTGTTCATTATGGAGACATAACCTTTCGTACTAGCGATGTTGTGCCGAGTACCACAGCCCTTTGCATCGCCAAAATTGTGCTGGTCGGGATTTGAAGATTTTTTAGGTGGCTTCGCATATTTCTATGTACTAGTCCGTTAGCTGATATAATAATTGGTAGAATCTCAACTTTAGCTAGATTCCATAGCTTTTTGATTTCTGTTGCCAGTTCCTGGTATTTAGATAATTTTTTTTTAGTGTCATATTGGAGTCTAATCGAACTGCAAAGTCTATTATTGTGACTTTTTTCGCTGCTATATCTTGGAAAACCACGTCTGGGCGATTATGATGCACTGGCTTATCAGTAATGATATCCATGTTCCATAAAATGTTGTAGCTGGTATTTTGTAGTATTGCCAAAGGTGTGTAGTTGTAGTCCGGTGTGTAGGTTTGTAGCAGTTTGTGTTTAAGACATAGTGCTTGATGTAAAGTTTTCCCCATGTTATCGTGTCTGCTAAGGTATGTGGTTGATGCTAGCGATGTGCAGCCTGATATGATATGCTGTATACTTTCTTGCGTAGGGCAACCTAACCGACATCACAGTGCTTCGTCCCATGGACAAAAATCAAAAAATAAGTTAAAATTTACTAATATCTAAATATATAATTTTATACTTATAGCAATGTTCAACCATCCTGTATATTATTTTTCATAAACAGCGTTTTTGTTAGCAAATATTTTCACTAAAAATAAATTTTGCGATCATTATCTCATCAGTGAAAAGAATAACGTTCATAGTAGTTCTGTATATTATGGAGTTAAACGGGTACGTACTTAATTGAAAGCCACTATGGATATTGTTAAACAAGGTATGTACTTTAAATTTATTTCTAAACAAGTTC